GGGGGGTGACCTTTGTACCAACCACTCCAAAACCCATTGGGCCCTTGGCTTGCCGCAAGAAGTGACTTCGCGGGGATCCGCGTTTTGGGCAGTCTGGAGCATTGGAGCTGTTGAGCCGCGGAAGGGAAGTTCTGCAGAGGAAAGTCGGCACGACCGGAGCAGGGCATTCACCAACCTGTATAGACGAGAACACACTGGGATTACTGGGAGCAGTAAGACGATGCAGATCCCTGCAAAGCTAAGTGTCCTCAACAGATGGAACATTTCCATCATTTGTGTGGATTGTACCAGATTTGTTTTGCTTTTGAATGAATGCCCTATCACCGGGGCCAATTTGTTTCTTTTTTGGAGCAGAGCCGTGATCCAAGCCTCTCCCCAACGATTTGGGATTTTCGATCCACTTTGGGGCGCAAGACAGGTTGAACAGGTAGGATTTTGGCCTTCGCACTGATTGTCAGTGTTTTTCGTTCTGAATGATGTCCATTTCTCTGGACGAACACCGATTGGCCGACAAAGTAAGCACAACCGTGGGGTTTCCAGCCAATTGAGCACAAAGCCCGCTACGGAAGGCGACAGCTCGCCTCAGCTGGTTGGCTTGTTGTGGAGAAGGTATCTCACAAAATAGAGGAACCACCGCATACGTTTTTTTGGTAGTGATCTTCATTCATGCCTAGCGTCGCAATCCCAGAAAATAAGATCACTGAATCACTGCCCATAAGACGCCCATGAAAGCATCTCTCCACCGATATATAAGACGTCCAAGATCAGGATCCACCGCCGTGCGCATGCCAAATGTGCTTTAAACACCTTCGGAGCTTTCACTGGAGCGTCGTGCTTCGCAAACCCCTTTGGACGAACTGCGCGAGGCAAGATTACCGTGAAGAAGTCCCCCATCGACTCTGACTCGCTCCGCAGGCGGCGCCGCGACGTGCCGCGTGGCCGCGACGAGCGCGTCGAGCGCGTCGGTGACACCGTGGATTGCGGGCTCTGAGACCAGACGATGCCTTGAAGGGTTCTGATGGGGTCCTGGAGTATTTGGTCCTACTTGGTTTGGACTGGGAATCATGTGATCTTCAGGTGTGACATCACCTGGGAGATCTCCCCCAGCGATTTGTTGACCTTGAACGAGCACCTGCCACATACATTACTTGGAGTGGTGGGACATGGACGACAGGCAGATGATCACAGAGAATTGCTTTCAAACAATTGGCAAACGGCGGCAAGCGCCAGCAATCGCCAAGCACAGAGAAAAGTGAGATTCCTTGGAACCTGTCTCGCACCGGTGGAAGAAAGCCTCCGTCCAAAAGAACTTAAGCGTTGTGTTCCAGAAAGCACCCATCTTTAGGTATGATACTACAGTACCAACATGTCACTTTGGAGGTCACTCGAGGTCACAGGGTTCCTACTCGTGTGACCACGCTGAACCGAGCTCGCGTGGACTCCGTCGACCATGTTCAACCAACCGCGTTCACCACGTTGCAGGTTGGGCGGTGGAAGCGACTTGGCCTGGCTGCAAGCCTATTCCAATGATCTCGGTCTCAACGAGGCGCGGGACGTGGCAGACGTGGCGTCGACGGCAGTGCTGGAGGTGGCGGATCATGACGCCTCCCACAACACGGTCAGATGCGAATTTTTGGGTCGGATGCTACTGGAGATGCTGCAGATGTGGGTTTCTGACTTCATTGAAAAGGTCAACATTCATGATGACTGCATATGACTGCATATGATCCCACTGCTTGATATTCCAAATCCAACATACATTAATTACATCATGATTCTACTGGAATGCAGGCCCCATGATCCCCCCGGGCCCTAAAAAGATATGGAGGATTGGAGGATTCAGGATTTGGATCTCCAAAACGCTGCTTGGTACCCTTTATTGAAAGAGCGGGACTAATGCCCCCTGGGAACCTGGTCACGAATTGCATCAATGCAGAACAGACCCTCGTGGCAAGCCTGGGTTGCAACTTACTACTATTGGTCCTTTCTTATAAACTTATGTGTGTATATATATATATAAGGATCGTTGGGGTGGTGATTGGCTATACCGTATACTGAATGGGTCGATTTGAAAGCTCTGACATCCCACTCCTCCATGAGTCTATAGAGGTGTTTCACAGTGCGATGACCACCAGTGATGAAGTTGCAGTCCAACAACTTTGGGACTTAGGGTCTATAGCCCGCGGCCAAAGCAGTTAAAACAGTTCGGAGTTGGACCTTTCCAGTGGAGAGGACCCCTGGCAGTGGCCCAGGGCCATGAAAAACATCGCTCGACCACGTTGGGCTTCAGGCTTTGTATAGTTCAACACCAGCGCCCTGCGGGACGGCCCGCGCAACCCACGGAGCAACCACGCCCAATGGTACGGTCTCTGACCATTGTGCTGATGGCGCTTTGCTGCGTGCTGTGCCGCGGCGAGGAGCCCGGCGAACCGGGCCTCGCGCGCGCGGAACTGGAAGAGTCTGCTTCATCCCTGCGGGGGAGCGGTGAACAGATGAGGCACCGGGGGGGCGCAGCGGAAGAGGTTGGGGAGATCAGAAGGACTCAGGCCACTGCAAGACCATAAGCATCATGAATCATAAGCCTAAAACATGGTGAGTTGGAAGTTCATGCTTCCCCCACGAAAGGCGTGGCTGGGCAGGTCATGTTCGAAGAGGTCCGATTCGCTTTCCCACACCATGAGCCATCTCGCCAGGGCCGGCAGCGCTGCCGTGGATGAGGGGCCTGCCAAAGCAGCCGATGCGGAAGACGCGGAAGACGTGGAAGATGAAGACGACGTGGCTTCAGCCAGCAAAGATTCAGAGACCGAAGCTGAAGACCCGAGGACCGAACCGTCGTCTGGGAACTCTGGCGATGCTCCGGCCACGGCCGGAGCTGAGAAGAAGTCCAAGTCTGCTTATCCAAAGGAAATTATCATTATCCCATTGGCCAGGTGAGGGCAGTCGGGAGGCGACCCTGCGCGCCTTTTGCATGTGAGTCATGTGAGGATGTGCTGGTGTTTGAAAGGGGCCGTTTGAAAGGAGCCTTCAACACACAGGTTCGAGGTGTTCGATTTTTGGCCGCTAAGGCGAGGTTCTCAGAGTTCTGGAAGTTGACATCGACGTTTTTGCAAATTCACAATCTTTTGGTGAGAACCTCCCCCAAGCAGGACTGTTTGAGGAACCAATTCGAGGCTTTTCGTGCACAGTAGCGATGGAAGTCAGGCGCTAGGCTGAGCGCTGTCCCTGTCTCCGCCGAGCGGGAAGGGCTTCGGGCCACACGGGCAACGGGCTTTCGTCTCGGCCCTGCATGCACAATCATGCACAGAGGTTCAAGCTTTCTCACTGGAAGGGCTGAGCCAAATTGATCGCGAAGATGGGAAACAGTGCTGGGTCAAGGCCAACACCCTAGGTTCTTTGCCTGGATGTTGCGCAAGTATGATTGGGAAGTCAACCAGGGTGCTGAGTTTTTGATCAAACTGAATAGTTCACTGGGCTTTTCTGGGGTCGGGACGAATGGTTATCATTCAATCACATGGATCAGGTCGCAGGAGAGGTCGACCGCACTGATCGGGTTCTAGATGGTTAGGGAGGTCCATTCTCAAAAGCCACTTGAATGGCTGGCCTGAGATGCGACATGAGATCAGAAGAATCCACCAGATGGCTGCCGTGATGAAGCCACATGGAAGCTCCAGGATTCCCAACCCCGGGGCGGTTCAAGTTGCAACCCATTTTGGATGTGCAGGTCAACGTGTGTGTGTGTGTGTGTGTGCGTAACCCTTGGAATCATAGGGATCCTTTCGGATTGTTTTAGCTTCACAGTTGTTTTCCTTGTGCAGCAGGGGGGCAGTGGACCACTATCACTCACTGCCCAACGAAGACAGTGATAGATCGGTCGTGAATCAATGCGGGACGCCGCATTGTGTACCTGCTGGAATTTTAACTTTTCCTGAGTTGACCTCCGCAGACTTGCACGCTACGCCGTCACCTTGTCGTTTCGTTCTCGACTTGCGAGTTTGGCCCCCTTTCCTCTTGAAGACCTCCAGGCTCCGATGGTTCTTACTGGTACTCTTAGGAATTGGAACCCTAGGCCGGCGTGTGGCACCGCTTTCAGTTCAGTACACCCTATCCTAAGTGTGTTTGGCCTCGTGCCAACCCGGGATGAGCCCGCAGAGTGCCTCCCGTGGACCCGTTGAACGGGTGTACGTCGTTATCTCCCCTGCGATGTAAATGTCCAGAGTGGGCGAAGGTGGCCTAGGCCGAGAGAACTCCGATCTGTCCCATTTTAGGAATTCCAAGCTGGCTTATGCCTTTACGTGACCGCAGCGGTCCAAGCAGCCAGCCATTCCGGCAAGGCACAAGGTGACCATAGCGGTCGAAGCCAGTTTTTTAGGTTCATTGGATCTTCTTAGAGGATAGGGGAGATCATAGAGAGGGGACTTCATTGTGCATTTTTGCAAGGCTTGGGAATCAGCCAATATTATTCCAAATCATTCAAATTAATTTTCAGGTATGTTTCAATATATTTTAATTAAAATTAATGATTTGGAATTATATTGAATGATTTTGGAGTGTTTTGGAAGTGAACCTGATTGGATGGTGAGCCAGGCTGACAATCTGCAGCCATTTTAATTTTGACCAAGTTAGCTGCTGGGCTGTTTTGAGCCATGCCCAGTCACAAAAAGAGGAAGACAACAACTTTGCCAGAGCAGCTTGGACTTCAAAGTCAGACTGTGAACAAGAGTAGTGAGTAGCTCTTGGTGAGCCATCAAAAGGCATGAAGGGTGCTATTGTGTTGTTAAAGGGTTGGGATGTGTGTTTTGTTTGGACTGAAGTTGGGTGAGTACTGCTGGTGATGGTTCTACTTGTGCCCACCACCTCAGGCACATGCAGCCAGGCATGGGACATTGGCCTGGAATGTTCCTTGGAGTGGAATATTCTAGAATTGCTGATTGGGAGGGGTGACCCATCACTGGCATGGGTGGAAAAGTGATAAGATTAACAAGGCTTATGACCTGGACATTCACAGTACTCAGACTCACACTGCTATGCTTTGCAACCCACCCTTTGGAACCTGAGGAACCCTATGTATGGCATGAATCACCCTATGGGTGGACCTGGGCCATCTGCACCTGGGATGTGGCCACAGATGCATGGAGGGATGGGTGGACCAGCAACTGTATCCTTGGGTTCTTCGTCTTGTTCTGGCAGTGGCAGTAGGCCAGAGAGTAGTGCCCCTACCACTGTTCCACCAGAAGAACTTCAAGATGATGATGAGGAGGAGGAGTACAGTGCCTTTGTTTCAAAGGGCTTGTGGGCTGCAATTGTTAGAGCGCAACTTTGAATTGTCTAAGCCAACTAGGTCCTAGGTGAAGACTTCAACTTTCAACAACCCATCAACTTTTAGACTATGTTTCTTGGCTTTCCTAGGTGAAGAGTCTGCAGAGTTCCTTGGCCTTAGAAACCACTATGTGAATGAAAGGGTCCAGTTCTGACAGGTCCAATATGTCAATGGCTTCTGTTGCTTATGGTTTCTGAAAGGCAATGTCATGGCTGTTGGTGTCAGGTCCAGTTCTGACAGTGGCAAGCACAAGAAGAAACACAAGAAGAAGACCAAGACACATAAGAAAAAGAAGAGTAAGAAAGATAGGAGGAAACACAGAGACTTGGTTGCATAGTGTGGTTCAACCATGGTTGGGGGAGTAACACCAGGTGGATAATGTCAAGTTGCCTGAATGTTCACCCATGTGGCTGCACAACTGCAGCCCATCTACTTGAGGAAAGCCTGGTGACTCATCTGATGCTGCCAGCTGCGTGTTTGCAAGTGGGGGTGGCAGGGTTGAATCTGGCAGTGCACCATTGGCCAGCAACCATTCTTTGTATAGAGGGTCACCAGCAGAACTTGAACAGGGTATGTTCTGGATACCATCACCAACTGTACTGCACTCAACCTTGTTTGTTTGTTTCTTGCTTTGGGGTGTCATTACCTTTCCAGGGGTTGTTTTGCAGCTTGGTGTGTCAAACACCAGCACTTGGGCAGGGGAGGTGCTTTTTGAGGTGTCCAAACCTCACAACATCCTGACACTGCCTGACACCAAAAGCGCATTTTTATATATACAGCTGTTCTTGGGATATGAAAAAGCACACACATATATATGCAAATATATTTATATATATATATATACATCTGGCATATCTCATCACACTGAACCGGTGTAAGCTCAACACTTTGGGAGCCATTGCAAAACTTGCCAGGTGAAGACTTGGACAGGCGTCCTGTGCCCAAATGCCAGTTGGCCAGAACTCAGGGTGTCAAGAGCAACACCAACTGCTTTCCCAGGCAGCCAAGAGTGCATGGTGTTTGTTTGAATGTTTTTCTTGAATGCTCAAAAAACTAACTACCAGTACCACTGCTTGGCAGGAGGGACATGCTTCGCTTTTTGAAACATTTGGATGAGAACTCTTTTGCAGATGGTCAGAAACTTATTGTTGTGATGGATGCCACTGAAGTCACTTGTGTGTTCTCAGTGTCTTTAACTAGCTCTTGGGCAAACTTCCTTGTTGGATGCTTGAGGTCAGAGGCAGCTCTTAGATGACACTGGTGTTGGGATGGCAATGTTCCTGTTGACTGGGTTGCCACCATTTTTGAGGGTCAAAGAGCTTCGACCCAAAGACAGGGGCGATCTGTGGCTTGGGCTGGACCTTGGTTTGGTGGGTCAATGTGCACTAATGTTTTTGAGCACCAGTGGACTAGTGCATACCCTTTTCCAAAACCAAGGAAAAGCAAGCTCTTGGATGCCAAGAAGCGCTTTGAGGAAAGGAATGGTGGACACAAGAGGTTTAGTGAGGTCAAAGAGGACTATTCAAACCTAGAGCCTTCACTGTGAACTTGTTGCATCTGTGAGTGTGTGTGTGTGGGGGGGGTAAAGTGTAGATATTTTGTCCCTGTTGTAGCTGGTGTTGTTGTGTGTTGCATTTGGCCTTTGGTCTGGTGGCCAAGGAAGAAGTGGCCAATAAGTATGGCTGGAAAGATGCCTTTGAGGGAAGATATCCCCATCAGCAAGCTGTCACTTGACAAAGCCAAACCCTTCCCCAGCTCAATATGTACAGTAGTATTTGTGACACTTCCTGCAATGCATCTCAGGCTACAAAGGCTGATTTGAGGCCACTATACTATGTTGAGCTCTCCAAGTGTGGTGACACTTGGCTGTTTTGCAGGGATGGAGCCATGGCTGCATGGTGGTAAACCCAAGCTCATCATTCCCAAGGGGGTCCCTGCAATTAAGACCTATGACAATGCAAGGCAAGGCAGTGCAAGTTCATTGGTGTGTTCTTTAGCTGGCACCTTCAATTGTTGACCTGTAGGCATTGCATCAAGGGCCCTCCACCAAAGAACCAGATGTGGGATTGCCAGACCATGTTCCAAGATGAAGCTGTGTACCAGAAATGGGTTGCACACCTGGCAACTGAGCTTGATTCAGTCCCTGTGCACCACCCACCCACCATTTCTGACTGGAGGATGACCCACCATTTCACAGCCAACCTGCCAAGGTAGAATGCGCACAGCTGGTGCCTCATGAGACTTGGTCCCAGATGTTGACCAACTTGCAGGAGACAAAAGAGATTGAACCACAAAAGAAGACCCAGTCTACTGTGCAGGGAGCTTTCATGAAGGCTAAAAGCGCAGCTATGGCAGGTGGGGGTTTTTGGTGTTGGTCAAGAAACAGGGATGTTCAGAATTTATAGGCACTGTAATTTGTGGGCCCTGCACTGGTGTTATTTTCAGCCAGTGTGTGATGGGTTGCAATGGTCCCCATTGCAAACTGGAGGTGAGGGTGAAGCTGAAGAAGTGGCAACTGAAGAAGACAAGATCAGGCAAGAAGTTCAAGCCAGGCTCACCAAGGAGCTTGAGGAGAAGGTTGCCAAGGAAGTGGAGGCAAGGGTCAAGCTTGAGAAAG